AGTAGCTGGGACTACAGGCGCCTGCCACAACGCCTGGCCATTTTTTGGTTGCAGCCATCATTGTTGTTTGGCGGGCCTGGGCTGGGGATTCGAACCTGCCACCTCAGGTGTATGTGGCTGGCGTCTTAGCCGCATGAGCCACAGGCGCCGAGCCAAGTCCCCTGACTTTCAAAAAAACATTTATGATGTAATTGATTTTAAAATAGCTTCATCATTTGCCATAAAGTTGTATATAAATGCCCCTTTAAAAATAAAAAAGCTTCACCACTATCTTCTTTCTCTATGGCAAGGTTTTCAACCATGCTACTACTGACATGTGTGGCCCAGGTGATTTTTTTTTTTTAGATAGAGTCTGACTATGTTGCCCTTGGTAGGTGTGGTGGTGTCACAGCTCACAGCAACTTCAAACTTTTGGGTTCAAGCCTTCAAACTCTTGGGTTCAAGCCATTCTCTTGCCTCAGCCTCCCAAGTAGCTGGGACAATCAATAGGCGCTTGCCACAACCCCCTGCTATTTTTTTGTTGCAGTTGTTATTATTATTTACCTGGCCCTGGGCGGATTCCAACCAGCCACCTTCACTGTATGTGGCTGGCTCTGTAACCACTGTGGAACAGGTGGCGTGCTTTTTTTCTTTTTTTGAGACAGAGTCTCATCATGACACCCTCGGTAGAGTGCCGTAATGTCACAGCTCACAGCAACCTCAAACTCTTGGGCTCAAGCGATTCTCTTGCCTAAGCCTCCCAAGTAGCTGGGACTACAGGCGACAGCCACACACCCAGCTATTTTTTGGTTGTAGTTGTCATTGTTGTTTAGCTGGCCCGGGCTGGGGTTGAACCCACCAACTTTGGTGTAAGTGGCTGGCACCATCACCACTGTGCTATCGGCAACGAGCCCTTTTTTCTTTTTTTTTTTTTTAAATAACACAGTCTTACTCTGTTGCCTGGGCTAGAGTGCAGTGGCGTCATCACAGCTAACAATAACCTCACACTGGGGCTCAAATAATCCTTCCTCAGCCTTCCAGGTAGCTGGTACTATAGGTGTGCACCACTTTGCCCAGCTAATTTATTTTTATTTTTAGAGACAGTGTCTTGCTATGTTGCCCAGGCTAGTTTAAGACTCCTTGGCTCGGCTCGGCGCC